TTTTATGATTTTTTTTATGATTTTTTACGATTTGGAACCCATCCGGCATCAGCCGCTGCACCCAGGAACCCCGAACCCTCAAAAAAGAAGAATATTTTTTTTTTCGATTCTTTTACGAAATAAATACGATGCCAACCATCTGACCGTCCTGGACACCCTCAGATGAGCTGCTGGTTTGGTAGCCGCACCACAACAAAGCCCCCTGACTCCAGTCTCGACAACCCTTTCCTGACCCCGGGTTTGCACCATAAAACTGCTAGGGCTAGGGTTCTCCTTTAGCTTCAATTATTAATCCACGGGTTAGTCACTGCATGGACAGGACGGCCGCAAGGGGAAGGCCTTCGAGCTGCCACGGCAGGCCACGAGTCGGTGGCAAACCCAAGAGGTCGCTGTGCGTGATGATTTGGGCTTGTCGGGGAAGTTCGATGCAGTAGGAAAAGCCACTGCTTGGAAGCTATGTGGCCTCCAGCACAATGACCGTGTCATGGCAGTCTTGAACTTGGCCATGTGCTCCACTGTGAAGAGCTTGAACATCCCTAAGAAACCGACGTCCGTGAGGAAGGCAGCCCGGTTCATGTTGGTTGACGTGAGCCAAAACCCCAGCCGAAGCAGCTACACGAAAGTTGATGCAGACTCGGAGATCCTGCACCGCGCTCTGTGCACCTCGACCGTTTTGGTTCATGCAGGACGGAAGGGGATCCTGAGTGGACGTGAAATGATGTTCCTTCAAGGACACCCGCGGTCTTTGCAGGTACCCCCGGACGTCACACTGCATGCCATGCGCAAGCTAGCAGGACAGGGCATGGCATTGCCGTGTGTGGGGACTTGTTTGTGGAGCTTTTGTGTGTTTCAAAGCCAGGCTCATGGATCCAGTCCTAGGCCCAAGGGCCCAAGGGGTGTCTGGTGTCTGTGTATGTTTGCAATCACGTGGTTCTTAGGACCCTTCCCTCTGATCATGTTTACTGTTGCTACACAACCGGATGCAAGGAGCTATATGACTAAGCAGTTTGGATCTAGAACCTCAGGGTCCTTGGGCGCAAAGGATCGGACACTAATTTCCAGTTGCCGCTTTCAAGTGGCCATTGGACTTTTCTGAGTGATGACTCTACTCTAGTGCAAGAGCCATGGAGGGATTTTCCGCAGATTCCAAGGGAGTCTCGTGAAGGTCAGTGGGTCTTTATGCAGCCTTATATACATCATCCATTGCATTCTAGTCACTTTATCTAGTCACTCTAGTCACGTGTTTTAGGTTGGTGCAATGAGGGGGGCCAAGGTAGGCGTGCAGAAGTCCCCAAGATGGAAGTCCATCACAAGTTTCCATGGCAGTGTGTTTCTTTGTTTTTTCAGCAGCTCGGATAGCGGGCTGGGTCGTTCCGCTGGAGTCTAGCAGTCTAGCACTGCTCGCACTATATCCAAGCTAGATCAGCTAGATGTGTTGTTGCTGCCCACAGCAGAGGCTGGGGTGTCCTGAAGATAAGAACCTAAATGAATCTAAACTTTACTCTGTAATGTTATTTTATCTTGGGTGCAGATGAGCCGTGGTACTGAGATGCCATTATGCCATGTCATGAAAGCAGGACAGGATCCCTTTCGGCAGCGGCAGTGGTTCACCTTAGATTTGGAAGCTGCTTTGGCACCTAGGTCTAGGGACTAGGCTAGAGTCTCGACTGACTGGACTTGACCTCTGTAGCTATGATGTACCCCCAATGCATTGTGTGTTGCCAAGCGCCCCCCAGAGCTCTACATTCAAGCTGCCAGCATGGTTCATAGATGTTTGTGTTGGGTCTTGTTTCCGCTTGTGATGGACCGGACTGGATGGGACACCCGCCCTGAAGACACATGTTTGCCATGGCCAGTGTCTCAAATAATTGGCAATTTAGCAGGGATGCTTGCTAGGCTGCCAGGCAGCTTCTTTACGTCATGTGCATTGTGTTTTTTCTTCGTAGAACCCGGACTGTGTGTGGCCCACATATTTGGGTGTGGACAAGCGCCAGACTCATCGAGACTGGATCTGCTAACAGCCAACAGTGACTACTCATTGATTCTGTGTTGCTCTGATCAGGTCACATGTTATGTTCGGTGTGTGAGGAGCTACTCATGCTAGGCATGTACTAGGTTACGAGGCACCATTCCTCAAGTCTTAAACTTAAACAGGTAGCAAGTTTAACTAATGTGGCATGCTCATCTTGACTGTAGACTCGATGTCAACAGTGGCGCAGTCCGCATAAAGATGGACCCTGTCCACGGGAAAGGCTTGTGGATGTGTGTTGACACAGCGCAGGGAACCCCGTCACTAGCGGACTAGCAGCTAGTGAAGTAGTGGAGTACAGTAGAAGTGGCAGGGTAGACTCTTGTTGTCCTGCTTTACAGCCCCATGCTTCAGTCGACAGCTTTGAAGTGGGTGGCACATTGGTTGGGTTGTGAAGTGGTCGTTGCAGGCACAAGTTTCTGGCGGTGATCAGCAGTCTACGGAGTACCTGGTCATAGAGTCTAGCCATTGCAGGGGCAGGGCAGGTTCAACACCGAGTGCACGTCACCGACAAGGATGCAACTCGTACATTGTGCATAGCAGGAAAAGGGCTTTGAGTGGTTGAAGTGCTAGCTGCTAGCTGCGAGGACTTTCTGTTGTGTATAAAGCCACAAGAGAACAGTGCTGGCACATCTTGCTCGTGAGCCACAGTCCCCAGGGCCCCAGAGTCTACCCTAGAGTCCTATACCCTGGTCTAAAGTCCTGACAGTGATTCATTCGTGTGTTGCAGCTCGAGATCCGCGAAGCGGCTGGCCGCCTGGCCTCGCCTCTTGTCAGGCTTGCCAGTCTGGTAGCTGGTAGCAGGCCCCCAGGGGGCCCGCCACCAACATGGCCAAGAAGGCGATGCCGAAGGCAGCTTCTGTGAAGTCCAGTGATGACAAGAAGGCCCGGCCTCCATAAGGATTTCAGGTCGACTCAATGCCAGAATGCTTGCTTGCATCGTGTCAAGCAACAGGAACATATGTGCGAGTCTAACAAAATCAAATCTAAGTATCTAAGTCTAACCGAGTCCAACTACACTAACTGCACTAACTACACTAACTACAAAAACTCACGGTACGTAGCTGCTGATCGTGTCCCGAGGTCTTGCATTGTGCTCACGTGAAGCGAGGGATCGAATCAGTGTAGACTGTAGAACGTAGACAGTGCAGCCATGCAATATCCTATCCCTGAAACCTTGTCCTCCTATTCAGGTGCCCACCGCCAAAGGCTTGAGTCTGGTGAAGAAGAAGAACACTCCAGGTTCGCAGGCCGGCAAGGCTGCTCCCAGCACAGTTGCCTCCAGCAGCAAGAAGCCGCAAGAGACCAAGCTTGCAAAGAAGAAGGGTGCGTCAAAGTCTGTGACTAAGAAGGCAGATGGACAGAAGGCTCAGAAGAAGCCTCGGAAGCCCACCTCCAACAACAAGCGGCACCGCAAGCCGAAGTCTGGGAAGATGTCTCGTAGCACTGCTGGTACCAAGCCCGGTAGCAAGGCTGGTAGCAAGACGGGTAGCAAGCATCGTGTTGTCAAGTGGAGCTTGTGCCGCGTCTGCAACCGCGGCCCGAAGGACTGCTCGGGGGAACATGGTGCGGTGGTTTCAGTCTTCGGGATTTGGGAGTGTGGTCATGGTTGTCTAGTGAGTCTAGTGAGTGTCTTGAGTCTAGAGTCTAGAGTCTAGAGTCTGGACAAGTTGACTTGAGTTGCAGGGACTGAGCAGAAGTTGTGGCATCTTGAACTGCGTGCTGAGATGCCCGATTTTTTCAATAGGCCCTGGATAGTCATCCACAGTCAATAGGAGGCTTAATGGGTGCTCAAGTTCAGTGTAGCTCTCTAGTTGTCCACCTGCCCTTCTCCAGTTCATTGTCGTTCCTGGATCAGGACCTTCCTGAGGGGGAGAAGTGGGGAGCCACGGATGCCAAAGGAGAACCCGTAGGCGATGGATGCCTGTTGGACATGGCAACTGCAGTCGCAGGCTGGCCGGAGAGCACCTGGGAGGTGTCCAGCGACAGATTCCACAAGGATCCAGTCTTCAAGGCAGCTTTCAAGGCTGCACGTGCAGAGAAGAGGAGGGTCATGCAGATCGAATCCAAGTGGAACCCCCCTTCCTCAGTGCGTTCCACAATTTGCAGATGCAGGGAAGTCTACTCAAAGGTTGGCTTCTTGTCCGAAAGCGAAGTGGCCAACCTCACTGGCAGCACGGCTAAGGCCTTGAAGCTGACACCAGGAACGGTGTCGCTGGAAGATCGCCCCGGTGAGACGCTCAAGGGCTTCTACATGTCGCTTCATGGAATGCCACCCGAGCTGCGTGGTGCGATTCGAAAGATCAAGCTGATCTGGAGGATTGCTAACCAGGTTGATGCCTACAACCTTGAACCGCAGAACCAAGTAACGCAGGACCAGCCCAAGAAGCTTTTTCAGCGCGTGTGTGAAAAAGCGGTGGAGGGCATGGACAGTGGCCTACGGACAGTCAACAAATCCAAGCTGCTGTCCTACGAGGCCATAATGGAGAAGGCCAAGAGTCTTCAGGAGGACTGGCTTCACCGGGTTTACCGTTTCGCTGGCTCAATGTTTTTCATTAACCCCAGAGACGTCAGTCGCTGTGTGGAGTGATGTGTCAAACGGTCGTTGTCAGTTGCTTTCATCGCTTGGTGCTTTTGGTGTCCTGCCCGGTCCTTGGGTCAAGTTATGTAGGTTTTTATGTTACATAAGTTAAGGTCGATTCGAGATCTTCAACTTTCTAGGTTCCGACCCCAGCATGAATCTAGTCTAGTGACTAGTGACTAGTTCAGCTGTGCTATGCACTCTATTGATTCTAGGTTCTAGATTGTGTCGGCAAACAAGTTCTGGTTTCGTACTGGGTTATTGATGCTGGTTTGTTGTAACGCCAGTTTTGGATGTTTAGTACCGGACTAGGCCTGCCAGGTTTCCATCCTTGTGTACGGTGTGATACGGTTTTGATGAACTTTCTAGATTTTGGAGAACTTGAGAGTCTAGAGTCTAGAGTCTAGACTCAGACTTCATCCTGCAACCCTGCCGCCCTGCTGTATGCAGGACCGGCAAAATGAGGAAGAGGCTGCGGCTGCAGATGGTGACTCTGACGCGATGAGTGAGGGTGAGGGTGAAGAAGAATCGCCCAAGGAGGATGATGAGGTTGTGGATGTGGAGAATGAGCGCGGGGTTGCACGGGCAGCACCTGCAATCGGCAATGCCTTCGCTGAAGAGATGGCCCCCCAGCAGCCGAAGAGGAGACGCAAGTCTGGAAAGACAGTCGATCCAGATCTAGAGGCGGATGCAGACGTGCAGGAAACTGACAGCACTGCGCCGGACTGGCTTGCGGAGGACAAGCCTTTGAAGACTGTGGTCTCGAAGCTTGGTCGATTCTACCGCTGCTTCCTGAACATGAGCCCAGAGCAAAACCTCATCAACCGCAAGCCAGCAGGGCATCAGATACGAGGGGTCGGAGACTCAGTTGGCGAAACATGCCAGAGGGTCCTTCATGACTTCATGCTAATCTTCATAGCCAGCAACCTTCAGGTAACTTCAGTTAGTGTTAGTTAGTGACTAACAGTTTGTGCAGTGTAGCAGTCGAGGATTTACTAGTTGTCGTTCTTCTTGCCCCGTCCCTGCTAGAATCAGTGCGCTCCTTTTTGTGGCAAGGCCCGGACTATCTTGGAAACCATGGAGAAGAATGGTTACAAGGAAGCCACCACCCTGAAGAACAGAATCATTCTTGTGGAGCACTTGGACAGCTTGTTGCACGGCCCATCGTACAGTGTTGTTCCCCGAGCCGAGCTTCTCTCTCACTTGTCAGCTATCAGCCAAGCTCAACTGTCGTTGCCGACAGATCTCAGAATGCAGCTGCTAGAGCGGCTGGCCAATGACTCGCTTGCTGATGCGCTTGAGATCGAAGACTCCAACTCAGAGGCCTTCAAGAAGGCCTTGGAGGCTTACATGCAACGACTGCATGTCTGGATGCCCGACAGAGACGGTGAGGATTACTCGGAGGTCGACCTCAGTGCCTCCATGGTGATCAAGGGTGCCATCGAAGACATCGCCTTCAAGAAGCAGTTCGGTAAGCTGTCGCAAGCCCAGGCCACCGAGGCAACCGACGAGTTCTACAAGGATTTGTTTTGGTGAGTGTTTTGTTGCGAGGCACATCGGAAGCTCTGCACCCACCCAATCTTCTGATGCCAGGTAGGCCCGAAGCACATAATCAGGTAGTCAGGTAGTCGCTAACATTATCGCTGACGTGTGATTCTACCAGGACTTCTCTGCGTGCTTGATGGAGGCTCTGTGCTCGGACCAGTTCTACACCTTGGTGAAGAGCGTTGGGAGAAGGAAGAATCACTAGCTCAAGCTCTGTGAAGCCTTCCTCACTGGCTTCACCGATGAGGCCCAGGAGAAGATGGTGGCTCAGTACCCAGATGTCATCCTGCACTGCTATCAGCGTCTGCACAAGATGTACAGGGCCATGGTGGTCCTTTTGCATCCGCAGCCGAACTACTTGGGCTCTTCCCCGGCCGACATCAACAATCTTCGCAAATACCACGGGGATGAGATGTTGGAGGGTACCCTTCGTGATTGCCTCACGAGCCAGACGGTCATTTTGCAGAAGGGGGATGTGGCCGAGACACAACCCAATCCCTGGGTCCGCATGCACGACGAGCTGTTGAGTAGAGGTGAAGCCACGCAGCAGCAGTTCCCCAGGCTGCAGGAGTTGGAAAAAGTGCTGGAGGCCATGGACCCTGACAAGCCTCTGGATGTCGACTTGGAGTTGCTTTGCCAGGCGTGCAAGGAGCTGTCGGAAATGAAGAGCAGCTTGCGTGAAGGGATTTGCACACGTGCGCTCAAGAGGCTGGAGGTGGTCCTCGTGTCTTGGGTCACCGCGTTGCTCAAGGCAGGCCCGGAGGCGGTTGATGTGGGTAGTCTAGAGTCTAGAGTCTAGAGAGTCCAGAATCAATCTAGAAAAAGGAACAGAACAGAATAGAATCTGAATAGAATAGTAACTAGTAACCAATGGATCGGATAGTCAAAAGCCCAGTATGCTGCCATAGATTGCATAGATAGCAGATAGCCACAGTCATAGTCATAGTCATAGTCATAGTCTTGAGTGAACCATACTAATATAGTACGTCGAAGACTCCTGGGCTATCCAGCTAATGAGCTTTGTGGCAAACAGCAATTTATTAGTCGAAGTGGCCTTGACCACCCCAGCGATGCATCGAAAAACCCAGGAAATGCCGTGGTTCACGTCCTTCTGCTTGTCAGCAGAAAGCTCCATGATGATGTCATTCGAGCAATTCCAGCAAGCCTGCCACGCATCCACAAAGCTGCTGATGTTGTTCGGGTTCATCTCGCTCTGCAGATCGGCTTGGAAGCCCCTGCAGATCTGCAACAGCTCGCAAGTCACCAAGGTCTTTTGGGAAGTCTTCCTCCACTTGGAGAGGTTGTCCACAAGCTTGCTAACACCAGGCGACGCTGAGAACATGCTGAGACCCGACTGCACATGCTTCATGGCGTTGCTAGACTCTGTAGACTATAGACTCTAGACTCTAGACCCACCCAGATTTCAGACCCGAATCAGTGGCTACGGCAAAGATGGCTGGATTGCAGTTTGAATACCTCCTTGTGTCGTTCTGAGGGTTCGTTGGGTTTGTAGATTTTGTCTTTAGTATCCTCCTGTTGCAATTGTAGCAGCTGTATCAATATGGAAGCCAGCAGTAGTAGCAAATAGCACTGAGCACAGCTAGTACTGGTTAGCTTGGTTCGTGAGCATGCAAAGCAAAAACATATTTCGTTTGCAGGCGACGGAGGTCGAATCCCCTGCCGATGCTCGTGTCATTGCGGCTGGCTTGAAGCTCTCGGTCATTGTCAACAACAGCACCCATCCTTTGAAGGGTTGGCTCGCCTGCCAACTGGAGACCATGCAAGCAGGCCAGGACTGGCGACAAGCATGGGCGCTGGGTGATGGAGATGCCGAAGCCAGGATTGAGCAAGATTCGGATGGTTTGCGGTTGGCGCAAGTCCTGAAAGCGAGCATCAGGTTGAGCAAGGCCCTGCAGAGCAATGCTGATGCACAGGTTGGTTTGAGCCAGCCGGAGCTGGACGAGCATGCCGCCCTCTTGTACTTCGACATCCAGGGCCAGTACCAGCCCCTCTTGAGCCAGTCTGTCCTGATGGATGTGCTCAGCCTGAAGGCCGTCAAGCAGGTTGATGTGTTGGATGAGATTTGCCAGAAGATCATGAAGAGCACACAGGAATTCGGCACCAGCACAGAAAATTCATGGAAGTACACCCTGAGCCAGGACAGCCCCATGGATCGTGTCGTGGCCAAGTACAAAGACACTCTCGAGACGCTCGATGGCGATGCGTGTGCCACAGCCATTGAGGAGCTTGGAAAGGACCGCTTTGTGCAATGAGAGAGGAGGAGTGCTGTAGTGACTTCAGCATGTTATTCAAATAACTCAAGATTTGAGCTGAGGGCTCTAACTCCACTTCTACGTCTACGTACTTTCGCTGTATACTGAACCTGCAGCTAGCAGCTAGCGGCTTGCGTGTCCAGAATTCAACACTGGATCCGTCGACTTAGCAATTACCCTCTTTCGTGGCTGGTTTAGTTTAGGCCAGTTTAGGCTGTGCTCCTTACTCGATCCGGTCCGGGCATAGCTTTTGGAGGCTGTTAGATTCTCAGTCAGTCTTAGTCTTAGTCTTAGTCTTAGACCTGCATCCAGTCTCAGTGTACATTGTGTGCATCACGTGATAGCAGTGTAGCGAACAACCAGCCCAGTCAGCTGGAAATCAGTTGGGTGTCCATTGTTGTCACTAAGGCCAACCGACTGCACCTTGACCCCTCCCAAAATTTCACCCCTCCACCCATGCCTGTATCAGGAGCTTGCCGCTTCGAAAAAATTCGCTGAGCAGGCCCGCGTGTACTCCGATGCCTTGCGTGACCTGGAGACCAAGATCACAAAGTGTGGCACCGTCCTCGAGGAGTCCAAAGCCCTGGTCTGTGAGAGTCTGCTGTGTTTGGCTTTGAATACCACCAACAAAGTGCGCAAGTTAGCATTGGTGCGATCCCAACTTGGGGACATCGCAGGGAAACAAGTCAAGGAAAGTTTGCTGCTGCCGCAGTTGGTGAAGGCTGCTCGTGATCTCGTGAAGTAGTCACACGTGACAAGTGTGATCATGTGGGCTTGTGCAACTACTGCCAAGCCATCCTTTTGATGCTGCGCCTTTTGGGCTTTGGGGTTTCGGGGTGGCTCGTGACTCGTGGCTGGCGGCCAGCGGCTAGCAAGGGCAAGTCTGTGATGAGTTTGTGTATGTTTAAAGCTGAAGTGACAGCCTCCGGACACATTGAGTTAGATAATCCATAGCTGTAGTTTGTACGGGGAAGTGCTGTGTGCAGCCAAAGGTTGCAGTGCGGATGCAGACTCGAGTAGTAGCCGTAGTAGCCGCTTTAGTGCCCATGAGTCGTCTGAGTACCCTCGAAAGGCAGTCAGAAGCTCACAGGGCCATATGTTCATAGAGTCATTGGCCATAGAACCCAAAGGGCAAGCAGCGTGCAAGCAGTCGCACGTGGTCCTGTTTGTGTGTGTGTGTGTGTTGGTGTCGTTGTGAGCAGTGGAGCATAGGAGGTTGTCGTCACACCCCAAATCCCAAACGAGCCGTCAAAAGGTTCGAAGATGTAAGCTGCAAAAGCAAGGACCACGGTGCGACTCTGGATTCGAGATGACTCCAGAATATGCACATCAGAAATTTGCTCCACATGCTTCAGATTTCAAGCTGGCCATGTTGTGGCTGGGCTCAGTCTGCTGTGGCCGCAGTGAAACACGCTGCTGAGCTGCTTGCTTTTGTCTGGGACCCCAACTTGTGTGCAGACGACCGCATCGAGGCAAATGCAATTTTGTTTCTCCTGTGCTATGCTACAGTGCTACAGTGCTACAGTCCAGTCAGACAGGGCCAAAAGGCAAGGAGAGAGAGACAGAGAGAGAGAGAGAGAGAGAGAGAGAGAGAGAGAGTGCGAGAGCGAGCGAGCGAGTGAGCGAAGGAGGCATGCGTGAAGCGACAAAATTAAGCACAATCCCACATACCAAGCTTACCCAGCCATGCTTGTCACTGACTGCTGGGATGGGAAGGGGTGGGAAGGGACGGGAAGAGGCGGGAAGGGATAGGGCGGATAGGGCGGGAGTGGTGAATAGGATGCGATGTGAGGCCAGGGGCCCAGGCTGCTATAGGGAGGGTTGGGCTAGATAGAGTCGGGTGGAGTTGCGTTGGGGTGCGGCTTGAGTTTGAAACACCGTTCCGGGCCATGAGCGGAGGTCACGTGAGACCGACAACCAAGTAACTAACTCTTTGAATGGCTCCGTATTTGCATTTGCTTGCTGATTCCTCTCGTATGTGTGATGCCCTCGTTTCCGGCTGTCTCTGATGATGGATTAGCTGCTGAGGATGGGAGGCAACAGCAGCTACAAGGCAGTGACCTACAAATCACAAACAGGTGCTAGCTAATTGCTCGTTACCTACAGGGGAACTTGAAGTGCCTTAACCGCTCATCGCCTCTAGACTCTATAGACTTTAAGCGCTCTAATGATTAGCCAAAGTTAGTCGTTTCCCATCCTATCACTTTCCATACTTTGCATTCGAATATGTTGTACGATGTTCCGTCCCCGCAGCAATGACTTTGGGATTCGTTTCCAGGTCGTATTCTTTCGGATTGGCATTCGTATCTTCGTCGTATATTTATCGTATATTTTTCGTATTTTTTTCGTAAACTTTTCGTATATTTTTCGAATGTGATTTGCGAGCTAATTTCCTGTCGTAAATTTTTCGTAAATATTTCGTAAAAAAAAAACCACCAAATCATAAATTTTGCATAAATTAATTAAAACCCAGGAATCCACGGGCTCCAAGACTTTGCCAGTCTCAATGTTAGCGGCTGTGAAGGAGCTGTGGGTTGCAGGCTTCAGGTCTTCAGCAGGAAAGAGTACGTAGGAAGCCGAGCGGTGAGCAAGATCGGAGTCTGGGGATGCCATCAAATTCTACTGTCACCTATCTTTAGTCTGGCCATGTGGAGTAACTCACTTTTGAGGCATTATTGTTTCATCATTTGTTGTCGTGGTGGTTTCAGGGTGCTTGGATCCTGCGTACGATGTCAGGTTTCCGCTTTCTGCTTTCCTTCCTTCCTGATCCTGCTTGTCGCTGCTCTGCTTCTTCTGCCTTCCTATCACTACGTTCCTTTTCCTGAGTATTGCTCTGCTTGCCGATTTTTCCCATCACCATGTTCACAAAAGTCGATGCACGATTAATTTAATTGATAAAGGCGAGCTGCAACCCTGCCTCGCAAAGAATCGCAAGCTCACGTCCAGGAGTATCGTTCCATCGCCATGTTTGCAAAAGTTGACGGCACCAGTTTTGTCAAGACCCTGTCCGACCATCATAATTACAGACCCGGGAATTCATCAGTCGCACAAGTCCCACAAATTGCACCTCGCCAGCAGGCTTGCCCCAAGACAGGATTCTGCAATTGGAATTCCACAACATTTGCTAATAAGGTCCTTGTTTATTGGAATTCACCGGTTGCAGTTGGAATTCCCCAAATACTTGCTGCAAAACCGGATTCAACAAATTGGAATTTCTCAACATCTGTCGCTGCTAAACAAACAGGGGCTCTGCAACTTACTTCCCCAAATAGTCAAGACCCCGCAATTTGTCCTTCCGCCACAACTTTATGCAACGAGACCCTCAAGGTTGGAACTTCACGAACTGCTCGCGAAAAAGGACCCAGCAAAACGGAATTGACCGGCCACTTCTGGGAAATGAAGATCCTGCAAACGAATGCCTGGAATTGCCCAATCGCTTTGTGACAAGACAGAACCCCCTGTCTTCTGCATGCACACAGCACCGAGGAGATGACCGTGATCGTCGCGACGACCGAGATCGCCGGGATGACCGGGATCGTCGCGACGACCGCCGCCGTGACGACCGTGGCCGTAGAGAAGGCCGGCGAGGAGATCGCAGGGATGACAGGAGCGATGCTTTCCAGCCTCGTGGCTCCGCATGTTTACATACTTCTGGAGACACATAGACTTCGAAGCAATGCAGCAAATGCCGGAGGACCGGCGATCAAGACGATAGTAGCTCGGCATGGTTGTCAAATGTCCCTTGCAAACGGTTCATGTTCTGGTGTACATGCGTCCGTGGCATTGCAGCAAGCTTCCGTCATACCAAGGTCAAGAATCCTCTGAACCTGAGCAGAGGAGTTGCAGTGTGCAGCACTGCCGAGTGAACCATTGACGTAACTTTGTGCACCCGAAGCACAGGAGCAGGAAACGACCCCGACAGGGAGACAAAAAGAACAGAAAAAAGGGTGACGAGAAGTCTGCTCGGGGTAAAAGAAAAGGACCGATGCGTTGGGTGGTGTGACACCCATCATCCATTGTAGCATACCTGTACATGCGAGGAAAGAGAGAATCAGATGACGACGATGAAGATGATGAAGAGGAAGAGGAGGCGTGCAGAAGCTTTGGTAGGAGGGAGCATGTCGCAATCAATTTGCTGGCAACATGTTGGTGCAGGAACAGGAAGAGGAGGAGGATGACAAGAAGGAGGCAGTGATAAGTGGGATGCCGCAACAAGACGTGGCTTCCAGTCTAGCGTCTAGCTAGCGCTGCGCCAGGACGATGAGGACGAGGACGAGAAGGAGGACATCCCTTCTCAGCTCATCGCCAGAGCCGTTTTGCCCTGCTGCTGTCATCTGCAGGAGGAGGAAGAAGAGGAGGACACTAAGAAGACTCCGCCCACTAAGGCATCAGTCCATGTCACGAGTCTCTGCGGTACAGCCCGGGTCCGGCTTGTGGAAACTTGAAGTTTCTGCATCAAAACATGTCGATGAAGACTTAAGCCGAGGCAACTCATGAGGCGTTCAGTTCAGCTCGTTGTGCATGCGGGAGGCGCCAGTGCCGCCTAACGGGAAGTCTGAGAAGGTGGCTGTGCTGTGGCAGTGTTTATGGCTGCTCCGACCTTTGTGCTGTCGCCGAGGAGATCGCCGAAAAGCTCAGAAGAGACAGGCATCCACCAAGTTGCCGAGTTGCTAGATGTCGCAAGCGAGAACAGCCAGGGTTGCCGATTGTCCAGACCTGATGTCTCCTGTTTCAGGCGCGCCAAAAGGCAGCTGCTAAAGGCTGAAATCAAAGCTTTAAGCTGCTTCGGCTGCATTCATGTCTGATTCTTCATTTACAACATGTGTGTGTGTGTGTGTATCAGCTAGAGTCGGCTAGAGCCTGCAGTGGTCAGAAAACCACAGCTGCTGCCAAGGTCTGCAGGCAGGGACGTCTTTTTAAGCAGGATGCCTGGGTCGTGGTTGTCGAGGTTGCAGCTTGTGCAGGTGCAAATTGCCGCCCTGGAATCCGAGTCTGCGGAAATTAGCAGACAAAAGGAGGCTTCTGCAATGCTGCGCTGAATCCAACAGCCAGAGCCGCGAACGTTGCCAGGTTTTGGTGCAGAAATCTTCTGAGCTCCCTGCTCGCCTCGAGCAGGAGGAAGAAGATCGTCGTTGCCTAAACTTGCGGGCAGAAAGCCTTGCGATGCCACGACTGTCTTGAACTTCGGAAGTGAGGTCAACGACGACTGACCGAACTCCAAGCAGAGTGCGAGGAACTGCAAAGCGAAGAAGCAGCCTCTCAAGCCAAGCCTTTCGTTTGCAATCTCGCTTGTGCAAGTAAGTCCTCGGATGCCAGAACCACGACGCTGCAAACAAATCTCAGCTTGCCTTGGCAGAAATCTTGTGCATCTTGAACCCTGCGATACCTGCCCACGTGTCTGTATGCTAGCCCAGCAATGGCTCTCCCATGGCTCAGGTGGAATGACCAAGAAGAGACGCGCCGCCAGGAGGCGGAGACTTGGAGTTAAAAGGAATCGCAAACTCGGCTCAGAAGAGACGCCGTCCTTCTCCGTTTTGCCTTTTCGTACGCCGAGGAAAACAGAGAGAAGAGTAAGGAAGAGCTCAAGTCTGAGCTCGAAGAGACACGGAAAGCCATGGCCAAGGCCATGATTCCATGCGCTTAATAGCACACAACACAGTGAAGCATGGCAGACATGGCAGCCAATTTTTGTGCGCCAGGAGCAAAAGCGTCACAAGGAACGGAACTGAACTGCAGACCGACACATCTGGCTCTCTCTCTCTCTCTTTCTCTCTGTCATCAGCTGTGCCGCCCGTTCCTGGACGTGTCCTCCAGGAGAAGATGGCGGAGCTTCGCCGAATCGAGGCGGACAGACAAGGCGCGCCAAAGCTGTGGAGGAATGTGCTGCGGCAGTAAGCGTGCAGCAGGAAAGTTGGACAGCGTCCAGAAAGACATTGACGAGTTTGATCGTCAGTTTGGCGAAGAGCAGGACCTTTGGACGTTTGTTTGACTTGACTTTCAAGTTGCTTTTTGGACTTTGCAGCTTCGGGGGCTAGTCCCACAGTGTGAATTTCACGCGCTTGGCTTGCTGTTTCAGTTAAGAACCACAGCCGATGACCTCGCGCAAGGAGTCGTTGACCAGCCGCCGTGGCTTGATGCACTTGGTAGACCCGTGTCTGCAAGTGACGTCCGGTCTCATCAGGTGCTGGCCTCCGGCAAAAGAGCCAGGAGCTCCACTCCCAGGCCTGCTAAGCCGCTAGTAGCTCCTAGTAGCCGCCCGCTAGTCTCGCCGCAGAACAGGTGGAAGCTCTGCAGGAGGAGAGCAGATCAGCCAAGGCCGTGCTGGAAGAGGCAGCGCGTAGCAGCTCAGCAGGGATTTCCTCACTAGCATCGACCTGAGGAGCAGAGGAAGCAGGAGGAGGAAGTGGCCGAGCTGGAGCGTCGAAGGCTTAACGCGCAGGCGGAGTTTCTATCCTGAGATGTCGTCAGACAGACCAAAAAGTGCCCCAAGGCAAGATTGAAGAATGCGCTACACAGCAGCTCGGCCATGTAGACCTGGTGCTGCTCGTTGTTGTTCTCTCTCGTTCGTGAAAGAGCCGGGTTATCAGGAGCCGCACCTTCACAGAAGACCTCGAGAAGCTTGGGGCAAGGAGAACCCTTGAGGAGCGCGTGTTTGCAAGCGCCTGGTCATACCACATTATGTTGAGATTGCGATACCCAATTTTGTCCCCCCGAGAGACAGCAATGTGGGTGTGTGCAAGCGTGCGGGAAAAAGGAACCTCCTTCGTCCTTTGACCCACCGAAAGCAAGAGGCAGAGAGGAATGCACGTGGGAGGCTCCCTTTTTCACCCCCAGAAAAATCGACGATCTCATTCGAGGGTGGAAGTTTCACGAGCTTGGCCAAAGCAGTGGTGAATAGGTATGCGGCTGCGTGTGATTGCAAGGGTGCGGTCGTCTCGGAAGATGCTTGCAAGCCAATAAGAATAATAAGAAGAGGCGGCGAACCGCTTGGCTTTTCCAAAGCTTGCAGGAGCCGGATGGCGAGGCCATCGAGGCCCAGCTCGAGGAAATGAGCGACGAACAGAAGGAGCAGGTGGTCAAGGGAGCGTTGCGACTTCGCCAGTCTCCGGCATTCGCTTCTGCCGGATGGGTAGTCTGCTGTTCACGTTTCAAGCAAGAAGAAGCACTTGCCGCGGCAGGTGAGCCAAAAGGCATCGTTGAAGGTCCGTCGCGCAGATGTCGGTTTCAACCGTAATGGGCCAGCAGAGTTTTAAAATTTCTGTGTGTGCAGTTTCTCTGCAGTGTTGCAAGGTCCTGAGAGCTGTCAAAGGCATGAAGAGCTGCGATGCTGAAACCATCATAGAGGTGGGCTGTGTGCTTTATCCCTTGCTTCGTGTCTCAGTTTGTAGCCGCGAGGGATGTGCGGTTGCGAGCTCTTTCTCACTGTCGTTGTCGGATCGGACTGAGTTCGAGCACGTCGCAATGATTATATGGCACATGAGGCTTTGCAGTCCTTGGAGACGGCTCTTAGCGAGCACTTCCCCCTCACAGGCGCCGTAAAGCGGAGCCAACTTTCAACCCTCGGAGCCCTGCGTCGCTCTGCCTCGCTCTGCGCTCTGCAGGCGAGCTCGAGGCAGAGCTCCAGGACGAGGCCGGCGCAGCCTTGGAGGCCAAGGCCAAAGAGCACGGCCTCCGCCCCCTGTGCCTCGGCTTGAAGCAGTGCAAACAAGGGGCGACATGTGTGGATCCCTTCTTCTTGTCAGCTGGTTACACGACTTGCTGTGGTCAGAGATGCCAAGGTCGCAGTGCTCCAAGGGAGGAGAAGGTGCGCCCAAGAAAGCAAGTGCTGTTGAGCAGGCCAAGTAACCATGCTGCGTCAAGGTGTGGAGGTCGAGGCGGAAGAAGATGCTGCTATGGAGGCCTCGGAGGTCTAGCTTTTCCGGGCAGGGTTGAGGAAAAGGCAAGTCACAGGCATTTCGCACAGGGCGTTAAGATGTCGCTAAGAATGCGCACGTCTGTCGGCTAGGAGAAGCCAGAAGAAGAGGATGAGGATGAAGCTCAGTCTGCAAGGGTTTATCCAAAGCTATGTGCGGCTCACTGCCTGAACTCATAAGGATAATAAGGATGAGAAGGACGAGAAGGATGAGACTGATGAGAAGGACGAGAAGGATGAACGCGATGAGCGGGAAGAGAAGAACGAGGAAGCAGCTTTGACACACTCACAGTAGAGCCTAGTGTTTTTCACACAGGATGCCGATGCATCAATGAAGACGGACAAGGAGGAGGAAGACGAGGATGAGGCTTGGGGGCCGTTTCGCATTTTAAGTTCGCAGATTGAAAAGACATTCCGGCGAGGAGGAGCCCGAGAAAGACTCACCGAAGCCACCACCTTCACCTCCTGAGTCACGACCTTCACCTCCTGAGGAGGACGGGGGGATCGGAGCAGAGGGCCTCTTCTTGCCTGCAAGCTCGTGCGATCGTTTGAGGAGCAGCGGCCGCCAAGCCCGGAGCCGCCGTCCCCACCCAAGGTTCGAGCTTCGCTTTTTTGAAGATTTCAGGTGTCGTTCCGTTTCTTGTGGTTTGGAGTTTTGTTCCCGGACGTTCTAGGAGCGCCGGGAGAGCCGCGAGCAGAAAGCTCCGCGCGCAAAGACGGTCGCCGCCAGGAAGCAGCAGTACTTACCGACACCTCCCTGATGCCTCCCCTCCCTCCGACTTGATTCCTGCAACACTGTTTAGAAGTCAATCTTCGAGCTCGGGTTTCAAGGTCAGATGTCTTGAGGCTGAAGGAACGTAGGACAGCTCTGGGGTTCGGGTCTACACTCGAGGCACTTTGTTTTCCAAGGACCGGCCGCTTGTTGGCTTCGTGCTAGGAGCGCAGAAAGACGAGGCCATCTCAGATCGCTTGCACGCCTTCGATGAGCACTTGCCAAGCTTGCCAGGATCGGAAGGATAAGTCCGAGACCAGACAAGAGGAAAGAAGAGTCGAGGCCAGAGTTTCGATCTTGGTTGCGTTTCGCCTTTAAGACACCTTGCCCCACTGCTGAACGTGTTCCGGGCGCACCGGGCCCGAGCGGGACTGAGGAAAGGAATGCAAGTTTAGTCCATAAGGGCACACTGCGTTAGGGCGGGAGCCACAACTGCTGCATCCACCACGGGCGGCCAGCGGTGCTAGGAACTCCAATCCTTTCACACTCAACGCAGGAATCCACAGTGTTACAACACGGGTGGGGGTTTTAAAACATATAGGTGTGTTGAGAATACTGGTTTGCTTGTACATTCCTATACACATATTTGCATTTATATGTATAGACATTTGTTTTACTTGCCCCAAAATCCCGATCCAGAAGCCGAATCGGTACTGTAGTGTCGGAACTGTTCCGTTTCGATCTAAAACGAGCTCTGGCATGTTTTGTGGCGGGTACCAAATGTTTATGCATTTGTCTGTTTGTGTGTTTTTGGTTTGCTCATGTGCTGCTTATTTGTGTATATATACATGCACACGTATGCGCATCATAAGCAATACATGCAGATTACATTACCTGACTTAACCTCACCTTGCTGCAATACATTGCATTTTACATTCCCCTCTGGCCGCTGGTGTCCTGTAAGGTGGTTCCCGAGCCGGTGTCTGCGCCAGCGCCGCCCCCCGAGCCTGCGTCTGCGCCGATGCCGGCGGCGGCGCCTGCACCGATGATGGCGGCACCAATGCGACCGGCAACGGTTCCTCGGGATACATGGGATGTTTCAGAGTCTTATCCAAAAGGGACCGCAGCCGACGCTTTGAAGTTGGAAAGACGAGGGTCAATTATTTCATCATGTGCGCAAGAGCCGATTAAAGAGGTTTTCAACTGGACGCACCGCAACCATGCCGACAAGCTTGCGGAGCAGGATCGAAAGGCTCGAGAGGCCAGGACCTCTAGCCGCCAGGCGCTGGGCAGTCCCTTGCTCTGGCACCCTGACGGCAGGAGAAAGAGGCTGCTCTGAAAAGAGAGCGCGAAGAGGCCTTGAAAAAGGCAGAAAATCAGATGACTGATCTAGAGAGGCTCGAAGCTCGCTGCAGTGTTTCTTGCGCTTGTCGGCATGTCATGTTGCCACGGCAGGAAGCAGCAAGAGCAAGTAGCTCGCTTTCGAGTTTCGAAGGCCTGGTCCGAGCATAGATGTGGGCCTGGCATTCCGCAGATCAAAAAATCGAGTTTCCGTCTGTGTGCAAGGCGATTGAGACCGTCCGAAATACTCTGATGGGAAAAGACCAGGCTGCTGAAGAAATGCGGCAGGTCATGTCGGAGTGCTCCGGCAGAACCACCGGATCACGAGTGTAAGTCCAGAGCATCAAGCAGTTGTGGGAATGCTCTCAAAGGTGGCTTCCGAAGGTCGCCCCAGAGGCGCAGCAGGACAGAAATGCACCGACATTGATTGCTTTGTGCATGGAAGCCTTTCTGTCAGGAGTTCCTGGAACAGGCCACTGCGGCCCTTGTTTTCAAGCCTCCGCCTCAGCAACAGCAGCCGCAACCGCAGCCGCAGCCGCAGCCACAGCCACAGCCGCCAGCGGAGCCCGCGGGCTGCGGTGCTGGCGGCCCTTGCGGTGGTTGTCCTGGCTTAGAGCCTTGTTCGCACAGCCAGTGGGAAGTGGTGCATGAAGTCGCACGGGGACGCTTCATAGTTTCTGCAAGTACCAGGAAGGCATACCCAAAATGATGGGTGTGCCAGTGCCTGTGCCCGGATTGGCAGCAACTCTGGCTGAATTATTCGTGGCTGGACACTAGCGCAGAGAGTGCGCAGCTGTGTTGCCTTCTGTGGATGCGATGGGCTCATCATAGCATATCATGTGGTGAGGAAGGCCATCCAAAGATGCAGGTGGGACTTGTACCTCTTGCACTCTCCGCCCATGCTGGATTGACAGCAGCTGGTATCCCTGTAGGCCATTCCGACCAAAGAGGAGATGCAAAATAAGACCTTCACAAAGGCTGCAGGCACCAAGTCTGCAGCGCCTTCCTGAATGTGTGGATTGTGTTAGCCAACCTCGCAGAGGTCCACCCAAACCACTCAGCGCCATGCCTCCGCCAAGTGGCATGATGATGGGTGACATGAAAGGAGACATGAAAGGAGCTTTGCCGGCTCAGACGAATCTGTGTCAAGTCGCTCAGACGATGCTATGCCACGTCTTATGCTGATCAGGAGGCAAAGGTGGCTGCGGATGTGGAGGCTGGCAGCTTTTTGTGGCATAAGCAGAGGCCGTGAGGCCGTGCGCTTTGATGTGCCAAGCCCAGGTTTCCCTGGTGGCTGCGGGCCCTGCGGAAGCAAGGGCTGCAAGGGAGGGGGGTGTTGCTTTGGCGAGCTCAGCGGCTGCGGTCCTCCGAGCGGTCCTCCTGGTGGCCCCCCTCCAAATGGTCCAGGCGGGTATGGTGGTGAGTCTGGAGGATATGGCGGTGGTGGAGGCTGCTGTGGGGGCTGTGGCCCCGGTCCATGCGGTGGGAAAGGAGGTTGTGGCTGCATGGGCAAGGGCGTAAGCGGCTCAGAGCTTGTCGGAAGTCCCTCCCTCAAATTGCAGGCATGTCAGATTGATTATTGCCGTGCACTTCTGAGGGCTTCGGTGGGAAAGGTGGCCTTTGTGGAGGCACGGCAAGTTGTTCCCCTGTTGCGTGCGCACTAATCATTACTGGGCGATGGCTTCACTGTCGTGACTTGTGCACAGGTAAAGGACCCATGATGGGTGGCAAGATGCATCTTTCTCAGCGATGCTTTGCATGTTTGCCGGTCCTACACGACATTGATCGGAGGCCAATGATGGGTGGAAAATCGTACGGCAAAGGCGGCAGGGCATTGTTTGGTGGGATGTGCTGTTTGAGTGTGCTTGATTCTCGAGGCTAGATTCGTTGGATGGCCTCGTGACTTTCCTGCTCCTCACGTGTCTCTTCGAACTACTCTCAAGCCTCGACGACGCAGCTCCGCATGTGTCCTGAAGACTTCTAGCGGTCTTTTCTGCTCATCCTTCAAGCACGAGACTGATCCCTTGTGAGAAGTCTTCATGACCATAAGCACATGGTTTCACCGACAAGTGCAGCTAGTTCTCTCGCTGCGGAAGACAAGCAATCAGCTCTGATTAGCCGCAGTTGGTTTGCTTTACCCGCGCCTCCACCTCATCACCTGAGTTGATGGACGCGCTGTAGTCAGGATTAGAACCAGCTCAACATGCCTCCTCGGCATTTTATGAAGCTCAGTCTTGACACAAGCTCAGAGCAAAGAAGCACGACAATGAGAATGCCGGTCTTGCATTGAGAGCATGCTAGCCAAGCCGCTTTGCGAAGCTTGTTCCCGATGTCAAGTCGATTGGACTGTCGCGACCGCAAAGTCTCAATCTCAAGACCTCTGTCAGATGTTACTTGGCCAGGGTTGGGTGTGAGCTGAACACTGGAGGACTCTGAAAGATTCATTCGCTCGTGACTTCACTTCGTTATAGGTCAGCGAGGCGTAGGGACGGCATGTCAAAGCAGTGATATCGTGAATGAGTTGACAGCAATGGACCTGAAGCTTTGAACGAAGTTCAGAGTCACACACGGAGCTGCAAGACTCACCGCAAGTTTCGGGGCAGGTGCCGTGGACCTTTGTGTATCTTGTCCGAAGCGCTGTGATGCACGGTGGCGGAACCCGGTCAGGTCTTCGAGATGAGTTCTGAAAGCGGAGTGGATGTAGCAGCGGTTCAGGTGCGGGCCTTCACATCTTGGCTGCACCCGACTCTTGCGGACGCGGTAGTGGGCTTTCTCCAGGAGTATCATGACGGTGATCTTGAGAAAGCTCTGGAGGCAGTTGCCGTAGCCAAAAACATGCAGCCTACTTCACGACGCCTCGAACACTCGGCAGGAGTCCGAAGTGGTGGACGGAGTCCAGACTGCTGAGGATGGCAACGCCGTCGAAGAGCTCTTGCTGGCAGAAGCCGCCCTAGCAGAGGACGGCGAAAGGGAATGCAGCACATGGGTACGTGGCCATACGTGGCCCGTCCTGAGGACCCCGAGCTTGCTGAAGCTTTGGTTGAGGCCGCTGAGGCCGACGGTGAGCTCCAGGCGGAGCTCCAGGAGCTCCCAGAGGAGCGGCTGCCCGCCTTTATTGGCTAGGTCCTGATGGCGCTCTTTTTTTCAGCCCAGGAGCAGCTGGAGCTCGAGGAGGAGGTCCTCGCCGAGCTCGGTGTGGAGGAAGTCCAAGAGGCCGTGCACGAGTTGCCGTTGCTTGAGAAAGGACGATTCGAGCAGGGTTGCAGTATGTTGCAGTGCAGTGCGCGTTGACCGTCAGGCCGTAGTCGTGGATGACGACGAAGACGAGGCAGTTTTTGCAGGACCTTGCCTCCGTAGCTCCATTGCACGCGAGGACAACGAAGGAGTTCAAGATCACCTCATGGATGCAGTCGAAGGCCTCCCCCAGCTGTTTCAATGCAGCCCTCTCCCTTCGATGGTCTCGGAATCAGGCATCTTCGATCTAGAGACCTGTTCAGGCACCTTGCGACTCAAGCGATTGCTGTCTCAAGACGACGAGGTGCAGCCGCAGAGCATGAACAGACAGTGCGAGTTCAGAAGAAGCTCCTTTGGCCGCCCACACGAGCCACAACATGAGAATGCCGTAAAGTCCTAGGCCCTAAGCCCTATCCAGCCCGCAATCAGTCCTTTGCTGGCAGGCGCCAGAAGAGGCTCTGAACGGCAAGAAGCGGCGTACCAAAAAGGCGAGGCAACAGATGGTTTGTGTTGTTGCGCGAGCCCAATTGGTTCACCAGGACTCCGCAACTCCCGCGGCTGATGAGGCCAATCTCCAGCTCTCAAGAACAGACTCTCGTTTTTCTCGGGCGGAAGAGCATGCGGCAGGCCAGAATCCAGCAGCTGCTGACCCGCTGGGGGCTGCTACAGGAGAGATCATGGTGGAGTAGGTCAGAGCAGCCTTGCAACGAAGCCCTTGAACCTCAGAGAGCTTCAAACCCCAGCAGCCCTCCACGGCCCCACGTATCCGGCAGTGGGTAGAAACCACCATCTTTTTATGTTTGCAAGAACCCCGTCTTCACGTCTGGACAGAGGACAAAGTGACCAGGCACGTTCTGGAGACCCTGACGCCGGACGAGCTTAAGGCTGAGCTGCACCAAGCTGCACCCTGTTCCTTATCTTTTCGCTTCTACCATGCAGTTGTTGGACGACTCCTACATCCCCGATAAGTTCAATCAGCACCATGGGCAGCAATTGGACCATGCTGCATATGCTCCGCAGCGGAGCGGGAAACACCGAGGATGCGAGGCCCTGGAGAGCTGATCATCTGCCAGATTGCCGCACTCAAAGAGCGTCGCTCGGCGGGAAGTGGCCAAGTGGCCATGTCATGCCATGTCCAAGTCGGAAAGGGCCGAAGACTCCTTGCTCCTATAAGGAGTGGGCCCGGGTGGTGGATCTGCCGATGCTGTTCTGTCATTCAGACACAAATGGAAAATGAACGTGGATGAAGAGGCAAGAGAGTTCGATAGCCGTGGGGAGAAGAACCAATACTTCTGCCTTGCAGTCTGCAGGCAATGCTACGAAGAATGACTCACAAAGAGCTGCGGTACGTCATGCAGGAGGGATAACTTCACTGCCCTCATAGTACAGGCGGGCTTTCTTGCAGTGTTCGAACAGGAGTTCAACGGCGATACATCGCTTGAGGACATCGGGGCATGCCGGCTTGACTGTGGTTCATAGAGCATGTCGCGCACACCGTATCGTTGAGGACTTCCTCCCACAGGCCAGTGCCTCTGTGGCTGACGAATCCATCACAGAAGGCACTCTGCCAGATGAGCCAGGAGTGCACGTGATCTCGCGGCCGCTTGCATCGAAGATGTCATTCATGCCAGTTTGACGGGACGAGTTGATGGGCGTGCAGCGTTGAATCACGTTGAGTACTACCTGGATCAAAGCAAGAACCATTTCTCCGACTATCTCCGACTCAGGTTCAACCGGCTTGAGCTCATTGATCCCTTAGCAGATGCTGCGGTGTTTGGGGATGCTAACCTTAGCTTCGTGGCTTGGCGGCACGCTCGCGTAACCTCGCGAACATGCAGCTTAACCCTGCCTTGTTTGCTACTAAGGCACTGAAGTTGGCAAAGCACAGAGAGGTCACATCCCCGATGTCAGCATGTAATGTAGCTTGTTCGGTCTCGTGTCCGGGCAATTCGTGCAGGCACTGGGCCATGTGGGAAGAGTCATTGCAACTACCTTTGAGACCCTCGAATGCCTTCGAGAACGCTACCAGGCAACGTCTGCAAAGTTCTTTCGCAGAGAAAGCCCAGCCCATATCTGTCTACGCATGACGAACCCCGAGCGTCGTGATGTTTGATGCACTTTTACCGTGGCTTCACAACTCTGGCGTTGTGATCATACAACTGCCAGGAAATCGATTCTACAATCAAGACGCTGGAGGACCTCTGTTCCGAGGCCTGCTGCTACTTCCGGCATCCGTGACGTGTGGCTGCAAGTCTGCGGCAGGTCTACCATGGTGTGGACTGCACTCGGATTGCAGTTGACAGCCGGTTCCATGACATGGAGGCCACTGCGACCTTCTCCTATGAACCTTGGGTGTCATCTACAACTGGCAAGACTGTCTGAGCCGTTGCTGCCGGAGTGCCTTTGTCTTCGCATCTTTCAGAACCTCGTGTTGACCGGAAGCTTCGCTTTCACAGGGCAGCCTGGGTGCAGTGTACTATAACTTTCCTCACGCGGGTGCCGTCAGTGGCTTCTTCGACGGTCTGCGACCTAGATCTAGTTTCACCTAATGATTCGTTCTTGGTAAGGCCGCCAAGCCGGAATGGTTCCGAGGTCATCCATGCGTCAACTGGCGCCATGAGAACCTCATGAGACTTTTCTTCAGAGCTCTGCGCTCCTTCATGAAGCCCGGAGGTCTGGTCAAGGTGTCTCGATGCGATCGCGTTCGGAAAGTGGAAGTCTGGGGGTCTTGGGGGGCCGCGTCAAGCCTAGGTCGCCTCAAGCAAGGGCGCTGTTGGAGCTGCCAGACTGCAATTAGGTTGGTTGGACGCTTGGCTCCCCTCTCCGCGGCTCTGTCTGCCGCAAGGTGAGATGGTTCTACATCACGGAGTCAGCCCAGGAGAACGAGTTCATTCACATTGAGACGTTACCTGGCTGGCGCAGTCAGATGCATAGTTTGCTCGCCGTTTAACTTTGTTCTGTCTGGGAACGGCAGAGTTGTGCCCAAAGACAGCACGGGGCAAGATGAAAAGCCTGCAACCACTTGCCACCGAGTCTCGGGAACTGGACAAAAAGCAGAAGACTTACACAGCAGCAGTCAGTCTAGAGGATTTTGTGGAAGGTGCGTGTAAACGCAATAACGCTCAAATTGCAATTTATAATTACGTCGGCGAGTTACGTTTCAACTGCTGCTTATGTGCTCTAGATATGGGCCTTCATGTGTGCCTCCAGAAGCCTCCGCTTGCAAGGATGCCCTTCAGGGAATGGCACCTGCATCGCTACGGTCGCTCCTACGGGGACAAGCGCGATGTGTGGGGTCCCTAGAGTTTTGTTCCGTGCGAGCTGATGATTGCGCGCAGCGAGGCACCGACGGCCTGGACAAGGCGAGGGCTACAACGTGCAGCGGGCAGAGGCAGACATGGACGCGAGCTCAGATGCGAAAGACGACGGGTGACAGACCTTACTTCCACTTCGCTAGCTTTGAGGTCTATACCTTCAAGTATGTGGCTCGGAGAGCACGCAGAACACAGTTTGTGCCGGAACAAGAGCGGTGTGGCTTCAGAAAGACTTTGGCACTTTGAGCAGGCGCCTTCGGGTGAATCGTCCCGGCCTTGGAAAGGGCGCAGCTTTTATTCTCCAACTGGGGGGGGTTTGAGAGCTCCGTTCTTTGAGGCTTCCGCCACAGAGCATCCGCATGCCGCCGAAGTTCGGGGTCCTGAAGAGCTGCCCCGATGGCCCCTTCAGGCGAGCGTGGGAGCGAGTGTTTGCTTCAGAGCTTCGCTCCGCTCCGCCGAGGAGCCTCCTGGGAGAGGCGCGCGAGCGGCACGCCACCGCGAGCCTTGGCGTTATTGCGAGCGTCGCAGAGTCCATGTCGCGGCCTGCAGCCTTTCTCCTTTTCCTTGTGGACGGGCAAGGCTTTACAAGCGCTTTGTGACGGAGTGCTCGGGCACCCATGTCGGCTAAGCTGGTTGGCAAATGCGACCAAAAGAAGCCGCGTGCGCACCACATCTCGGGGTTACGCAACTCTCAGAACATCCCTATTCATGCACATGATGTACAGCTCTTGAGCTTTGCAGGGGAACATGTATGAGCCCTCCCGCAATCAGAGCTGGCTCGCTTGTCTTGTTTTCCACGGTACCTGACGCGCGAAGTGGGTCTCTCAGTCGTGCCAGAAGGGGGAAGCACGCGGACGCTGACCGCTTTAATATTGAGGATTCACGACACAATGGCCCGCCGAAGCAGCTCCGTTC